GGGGGGGGAGGGGTGCTGGCTGTGGGGGAGCTCCAATTACCCCACCCCTGGCCTCTCCCAACAGGGGGCGCTGTGGGGAGAGCTCCCGGTTAACCCAGCCCCGGCCTCTCCCAGCAGGGGGCGCTGTGGGGAGCGGGGCAGGAGCACTGGCCACGGGGGGAGCTCCCGGCTACCCCAGCTCCGGCTGCTCCCAGCAGGGGGCGCTGTACGGAGCGGGGCAGACACTCACTGGAGTGGTGGAACTGGAGCTGCTGGTTCTTGGTGCCATACAGGTTGCGGGCGGAGCAGACAATGAAGAGCTGCGAGTCCGGCTCCCCGCGCAGCGTCAGGATGCTGGTGACCGTGTAGCCCGTCTTCTGGGAATAGACGAACTCCTGGTCAGTCTCGTTGACCGTCACGTTCCGGGTGGGCAGTTCGAAGGAGATCACGGGCTCCGGATTGGCCAGCACGGCGCAAACACACTGCACCGTGTCCCGAGCCGCCGTGCACTTCGACTCCATGAGGATTATGGGAGCAACTGCGGGGAGAGACACAGCATCAGCATCGCGGAGATGCAGCCAGCTCTGGGGTGGGGCAGCTGGGGAACAGCCACAGATAACACTGCACAAGGATGGCCTGTGCCAGAGCTGCCTGAGATGCAGCCTCGTCTGGGGTGGGGCAACTGGGGAACAGCCACACAGCAACGCCAAACGGGGACAGCTCGCCCGGCGCTGAGATGCAGCCAGCTATGGGACGGGGAAGCTCAGGAACAGCCACACAACACTGCACGGGGATAGCCTGCACCAGAGCTACCTGAGATGCAGCCTCGTCTGGGGCGGGACATCTGGGGAACAGCAGCACATAACATTGCACAGAAAGAGCTAGGCAGGTGCTGAAATGCAGCCAGCTCTGGGGCGGGGCAGCTGGGGAACAGCCACACATAACGCTGCCCAGGGACAGCTCATCTGGTGCTGAGGTGCAGCCACCTCTGTGGGAGAGGGAAGTGGGGGAAAAGCCCTGACACCCTCTCCCACCCAGCATGGGTGACTCACACTCCACGGTGAGGTTGAAGGCGGAGCCGCGCTGGCCATACTGGTTCTCCGCCACACACCAGTACTCCCCGTCATCCTCGTGGGTCACGGCGGGGATCTCCAGCAGCAGCTCGCTCTCGTAGACCACCGTGGCCACGATCTGCTTCTCCTTGAAGATGGTGATGATGGGCTCGGGGTTGCTCTCGGTGGTGCACAGGATAGTCACCGGCTCCCCCTCCACTGCCACCACCGAGGAGTTCACCGACGGCTTCCGCGGGGCGTCTGCGAGGGTTGGGCAGGGGTTCACTGACCCACAGAGCCAGAACTATAACCACTAGGCACCACTCCCCTCCCAGAGCCAGGATAGAACCCAGGAGTCCTGGCTCCCAGCCTTGCCCCACTCCTCTCCCAGAGTCGGGATACAACCCAGGAGTCCTGGCTCCCAGCCCCACCCTACTCTAACCACAGGCCCCATTCCCCGCCCAGAGCTAGGATAGAACCCAGGAGTCCTGGCTCCCACCCTCCACCCCCGCTCTAACCACTAGGACCCACTCTTCTCCCACCGCTAGGAAATAGAACCCAGGAGCAGCCCCGACCCCCCCACTCTAACCACTAGATCTCAATCCCCTCCCAGAGCCGGGCTAGAACCCAGGAGTCCGGGCTCCCAGCCCCTCCCCTCCGCTCTGACCACTAGACCCCTCTCCCCTCCCGCCCAGGCACTCACACATGACGGTGAGGGCCAGGGAGCGGTTCACCCGCCCGTACACGTTCTCGGCCACACAGACGTAGATCCCATCGTGCGCGTGGGTGACGTTGTCCAGCTCCAGCGTCAGGTTGGTGGACGGCTCCTCCCGCAGCACGGCCTCCTCCTTGAACCACGCCAGCAAGGCCATGGGGTTGCTGTCCGCCACGCACAGCAGCACCACGTGCGAGCCCTCCGTGATCTCCAGGGACGAGTTCACCTGCAGGATCTGGGGCACGTCTGCGGTGGGGGAGGCAGAGCTGAGCCTTAGCCTGCGGGACTCCCGGCCACTGGAGGGCAGCGGGGTTAACTTGCGGGACTCCCTGCCACTGGAGGTCAGCGGGATTAACTTGCGGGACTCCCTGCCACTGGAGGTCAGCGGGGTTAACTTGCGGGACTCCCGGCCACTGGAGTTCAGCGGGATTAACTTGCGGGACTCCCTGCCACTGGAGGTCAGCGGGGTTAACTTGCGGGACTCCCTGCCACTGGGTGTTTGGGGGTTTAGGCCACACTACTGGGTATTAGTGGGGTTAACCCACGGGACTCCCTGCCACTGGGTGCCAGCAGGGTTAAGCCACAGGGCTCCTCTTGCTCTAAGCACTAGCCCCCACTCCCCGCCCAGTGCCAGGGCCAGAACCCAGCAGGCTGAGGGGGGCGCTGCTGGCGACTCACACTTGACGTCCAGGGTGGCGAAGGCCTCGAAAAGGAAGGTGGTGTTGGTGTAGGTGACCTGGCAGCCCAGTTCGTGCCCGTCGTTCTCCCGCGAGGGCTGGAACTTGAGCAGGGACACCTGGCTCCAGGTGCCGCTCTCCTCCTCCAGCTGGCCGAAGACAGCGTGTCCCTCCAGCGCCTCGTGGTTCAACCAGCTCACCACCGGCTTCATGGTGGGGCAGTTATCCGGCACCACACACCGCAGCTCCGCCTCCGTCCCCACCACCACTGCAGCCGGGGGCACGATGGTGGGTTTGTCTGGCGAGGGAAGAGGCTGGGTGAAGCCAGGGACGCGGGCTCCAACCCACTGGACCCCACTCCCCTCCTGGAGTCGGGGATAGAACCCAGGAGTCCTGGCTCCCAGTCCCCCCACCCCACTGCTTTAACCACTAGACCCCACTCCCCTCCTGGAGCCGGGGATAGAACCCAGGAGTCCTGGCTCCCAGTCCCCCCACCCCGCCGCTTTAACCACTAGACCCCACTCCCCTCCTGGAGCCGGGGATAGATCCCAGGAGTCCTGGCTCCCAGTCCCCCCACCCCACCGCTTTAACCACTAGACCCCACTCCCCTCCCAGAGCCAAGGATAGAACCCAGGAGACCTGGCTCCCACTCCCTCCACCCCACCACTTTAACCACTAGACCCCACTCCCCTCCTGGAGCCAGGGATAGAACCCAGGAGCCCTGCTCCCAGTCCCCGCCTCCCTGGCTCTAACCATTAGACCCCACTCCCCTTCCAGAGGCGAGAAGAGACCCAAATGCACCCTGATGCAGCAGTAGGGGGTGCTGAGCTCCATGGCACAGGGTGCATGATTCACTCGCGGGGGGGGGGCTCTCTCATCACTGTTAATTCTGAGCCTCTAGAGGGGCAAGGGCCCCATGCCCCATTTCCCACCCGCCCGAGCCAGCCAGTCCCGTGCCCTGAATCTGGATGGCAGCCGGCGCCCCCTAGAGGGGAAAGGCCCTGTGTCCCATTCCCCGATTCAGCCATCCCAGGGGCCTGGCCCCAGCGCCCCCCACTCACCGACGATCTCCAGGTTGCTGTGCTCCGAGTACGTGTACTGGTTGTAGCCG